TTCAGAAGGGATGTGGACAACATGGAGAGGGCCACTCGCATGATCGGGGGCAGCAGGGGAGGCCCTACAAGGAGAGACCTGGGGATCCCCTGCTTCCTGGCATAGTCCCGGGACCTGCACGTGGCAGCAGGGAGTGAGGAATACAACTAGCTCCATCACATGGTACTTCCCCCTGCTGGCATGCAGATACCAGGAGATGTATGTGCACTGCAGGGAGCTCTGTGCAGTAGAGGCGGGCTGGCCTGACAGTGCCACTGGACGGCAGTGCCTCCGCAGGCCACGAGCGCCCTGAAGGACCACTGCCTCCTGTTGGCGCAGCTGCCAGCGGGGGGGGTGGGGGGTTGGGGAGGCTGTGCACCATGCAGGGGAGTGGGTGTGGGGGTTCCCACCCATCCTCACACCCACACCCTGTGAACCCAAACTCCACATCCTCCTGCCACCCCCCTGGGTGCAGGCTCCATGCTCCTGCCAGCCCCTAGCCCCATGCTTCCCCTTCCTTGCCCAGCTTCTTTCTCCCTTCCCTTGTGTTTCCCTACCTGTTGCCCTGAGCAAGTGCTGCAGCAGGCAGATGAGGAGGAAAAGCTGGACACCAGGGAAGCTAAGTTGGTCCCCTGGTGGCTGCAGCAGTGGCAGCAACAGTCCCACCCAGAAGCTGCATGATGCCTGGGCCAGGCCCTTCTGTGCAGGAGGGTGGGAGCGAGGTGCGCGGGTTGGATGGGGTACAATTAATTGGTGGGTGCCTCTGGGCCAGCTGAAATTGCTGGCAGGCCAAATCTGGCCTGCAGGCAGTGTTTTGCCCACTTCTGGTCTGTTAACTAGTAACAAGTGAAGAAAACATTGACAAAGATCTCTCTGAAATGTTAAATATACTGTATCCCAAATACATGGATGTCTCTGTTTTCTGAATTGTATGTTATGTCATGTGTGCCTTATACTCCATAGTTTTGGATTCAGCCTTGCTAAATAACTATTGTTTCTTTGTGTGCCAGTATAAGGAGTGGGAAGCCATATGGCTTTTGGGTGTGTATTCTAGGACACTGTCACAGGAACGGTCTTTGTATTTTAACAAAATCAAAGCATTAAAACATAGTCCCTCTGCCTAAAAGAAAAACTGTCCTTTAATAATGGGATTGTAAAGTGGCAAATAAAGTTTTATTACATGCAGGTCACCATTTAGTTTTATATCGATGGCCATACAGAAGACTGTGCATAACATCTTTTACTGCAGTTCTAATTAAAACTTCAGTTCTAATTAAAATTTCAATGAAAGCAGGATCCAATCCCTAGGTAGGTTTGGAATTATTGAAAAAAAAGTTGTTCATTTTCAGGAGCAGTTTGATACTCTGGTAACATTTATAATACTGTTAAGTCTAACCTGACCTGATGTCCTGGTTATGTAACTGTACAGATCTTATTCTTTCAATACACTTTGCACAGGGATGCCCAGAGGCAACTCCATTATATGCAGATCATGCAACATCTATCATCACAAGTTATCAAGGGTGGGTAGATGGGATTCAGCCTACACAGAGCTGTACTCTTTGACAACCTGTTGGGACCTTTAATTGATTTATCATACATTTAAATGAACTTCCTAGATTCTCTTTGCTCTCTCACTCAGGTTTCAGGGGTATTTAAAAAGCAAAATTACTTGCTTTATTTTTGCTTCTAGAGTGCTCTTGCCTTGAACCACAAATGCAGTATTAAATTAGCTGCTGTTCAAGTGGGATTTAAAATCTTTATGTTTGTTATATTTTCATCCAGTATAACAGGAATTCCAAGTATGTTGTATATTTTGTCAGGTACCTGCGGGAGAGCCTTATTTGGTTACACAGCAGGCAAGACTGTGGTCCCATTGAAATAAACAGGATTTTGCCATTGTTATAGGTCAGGATTTCACCTTGCATAGGAAAGGTTTTTATTGTTAATAATTACTCATATATTTGCCATTGTGTATACAAGTTGCATTGAAATGACAGACCATAATGACTGAAATCTTTGTTATTTACGGTGTCAGTAATCTTTTGATGAAATCTCTCTAAAGACACATTCAGACTGGAGTTCCTAACACTGGTGAATATAAATTAAATGATTGTATTAGTGACATACATGTAAAAGGGCCTCATAATGGTAATTTCTAATACCTTGACTGCACCTTCTTTGCAATGCATTTAGGATACAATATTAATATCCATAAATGTACGTTTAATTATAAATATACTATAGACTGTTAAATCTCCTCTTTCCCCTTTTGGTTTTATAGCTTGCACATGCAGTGGACACGCCAATGTTTGCCACATGCAAACAGGAAAATGTTTTTGCACAACAAAAGGGATCAAAGGAGACCAGTGTCAACTGTGAGTACAAATAAGTATAACCTTGCAGTATTTTAATTTATGCATAGCAGGTAATTTATTTTCTGGGTTTTTTTCCATTTCTTTCTTTGCTGTGGAGTAACCTCCAGAGGTTTCATTGCTAAATCCGGTCATTCTATGTATCTCTCCTATTTCTTAGAAAAAGACATAATTATTTTCTTTCTTTTTGATAAATAGCATAATAAATATTAATAACATTTTGCAGCCACTACAGTTTTCTTTTTTAATATCCTATAAAAGGAGATGGCTGGAGAATTATCTTTAGTATTGTTCTTTTTTATGTGCAATTGGAGTCCAAGTTCAAAATCTCTGTGAAGCTGGGAGTTATATTAGGTACATTTGTCACATACCTTTAGGTCAGAAACTACAGTAATTAGATTTTTAGAGTTTCAGAAACATTTTGAGGTGGACAATTCTTCAGACATTTCTCCACATAATTAAATATTGAACAGAAGGAATATATAGGGTTGTAGCCAAGGAAAGTGCAATTAGTATTTCTAGTTTCTGTACTGGAAATCAGCTGGATAGTTCATTGTTGACTGAGGCTTAAAAACATTTAAAGGAGTACAGCTATAAATCCAAAGCAGGTTGAAAAAAGATAGAAATTATGTTAAGTATTTTTTCTCCTATGTGGCTCAGATTCCCCTTTCTTCTGAAAGGAGATAGCCATACTTAGTTGCTCTCCATTTTGTGGTTCAGAGTTTTTAAATATTAAAAGTTACAGAACTTTTTTTGAAAGGACTATTAAAAATAAATGATGCTGTACTTCTTACCAGGACAGATTTATTCCAGACTCCTTCTCCACCTTCTTCTAATTTTCAGGAGAGTAGCAGTTTGTCCCAGTGGTAATTTGCAGTAGTTTTAGAGAAAACAGAAATGCTGAAGGGCAAACAGAAACCTTTTCCTGAGGGCTTTATTTTGTTTTTTAAGTTCTAGAGTTGTGGTAGTCTTCCTCTATTTGGAGGCATAATGGAAGAAAAATGATCATGTCATATTTGTATTTATTATTGTATCCTTAATGCCTTATTATAACATCAGCTCTAGGAACTGAGTGTTGTATGTGTTATAAAGTGATGTTTTAAAAGAGGTATTGTGTGGCCCTGTGGGAACTTGAGTTATACTACAGTCTTTCCCTTTATTTCCCTATTTCACCAGAGCAACATCGGATGTCAACCCATTATTTTATTTTTTTTCAGTTACCTAATCTATATATTTTAGGTATTTGTAGGATTCCAATTGCTATTATATATAGATATTGCTGTTCTAACCCCCTTTTCTGCTGTTAGATAGCATTCCTTATGGCTGTCTAGTAAATCCTTAAAGTTTATGAGAGAGTGTGCTGTCCTGAAAGATTATACTGTGAACACACTGTGGAGAAATGTATCAGACCAGTGGCTGGCAACCTTTTCAGGTTGTGGACCAGACTGACTCAGCTTGGATCACAGGTGTATAGGGATGTGGACGGGTGCTAGCCACTGCTACCTCTGTTTCTCTCACAGTGGCACCTGGAGAGCTCCCAAGGCATCCGCCTCTTCCTGTAGCAATACAGGGAGAGCAGCTGTGCCAGTGCAGCCTGCCACCAAATGCTGCTGAAGCCCCAGATCCAGCCCACAGGCTGTTGCTGACCTCTGTATTAGCTCAAGCTGGTGTTTATATTTAACCAATTAACAGAGTCTTCCCCTTGCTCATTGAATTTATTTTGTCAGCTTCCACCAAACTTTTGTAGCTTAGACTGAGTGCCCTACAGTCCAGAAGTGAAAATAAACCTTGATGGAACTGCAATCAGTTTATTGCACTGGGCATCTTTCTTTTAATATCCTACAGTAAACAGTATTACTGAAGTTTTACACCAGAGAATGATCTTCTAAGACTGCTCAGTTATCTTTGCTTTGTGATGGAGTTTATTAATGTGGCTGTAGATAAAGAGGGAGTCTTACATTAAAAGTCCAAGTGATTTTAATGAAAATGTAGCTCCTTCGGGAGCCAGACACATCCAGTTTTTTGTGTTATTTAAAGACTGTCTATTAGAATTAAGAGTACGAAGGGTCCAACCAGGATTGTGGCAGGAGGGTGGGAAGGTAGGCAAGTAGTAGGAGAAGAGTGGCAGCAGCAGGGGCGGGGGAAGTGGTGGTGGTGGTGGCCACAGCGAGGGGTGGGAGTGGTGGCGGCAGCAGTGGCGGAAGGGTGGGCGGGCAGGGAGGAGTGTCGGCAGCTTTGGGTGAGAGTGAAGTGGCAGCTGGGTGGGAGTGCGGGGCCTGTGCTGGTGCCCCAGGGTCAGGGCTAGCAGGGACCAAGGCAGAGTGGCAGGAGCCCGGAGCCTGGGCCAGCGGGTGTGTGGTGCACTGTGCAGGGCTTGTATGCATTTCCCTGGTTCTCCACCCAAGCCATGCGCCCCTGGGCAGGATCCCCATGCAATGGAGCTGGTGGCCTGCCCTGCCCACTGCTACGCACAGGTCATGGGGAATGGCAGGGAGGTCTGTGCTATGGAGCTGGGCCAGCTCCACCCTTCTCCCTGCCACATTGGCCAAGTCCCATGACCTGTACCACTGGCTTCATCACATGGGGCTCCCCCTGGCAGCATGGGGCTTGGGCATGTGGAGAGCCCAAGCCCCATGGTGGCCCAGTCATATGCAGTTCTGGGGCTTGACAGTGCACTGCCAGGGGGCTTCTCTCAGTGCTGCCACTGGCTTCAGGGGCTGTGTGCAATGGCAGGGAGTGTGTTTGTTGGGGGGACCCGCACACCCACATATCCCAACAAATATTCCCCTACAAACCCCATACCCACTCACTCGCACCCACACCCCCTCGCAAACCCCACACACACCCACAACCACAGCCCCCTACAGACCTCATACCCACCCACCCACACCCCCTACAGCTACTCATAACCCTCTCACACACTCGTACAAACCCCACACACACTCACACCCTCCTCCACACCCTATATACACACACATCCACACGCATATACCTGCTCCCCTCCACCCCCATGCAATATATGAGAGTAAGACTTGATTTCATGAGCTATTATGTAATCACCTCTATATATGACACACATGCACATAAATCTGGGTAAAAATATTTTTTGACATAAAATTAAAATATGATATTGTAGATGTTTGATTTTTAGTATCTAATTTGTTTTTTCTGGTTCCAAGATGTTAAACCCCGTTCCCAAAAGAAGTACTTCTGGGGGCAAAAGTCAGGGACTAAGGCTGGTTCCAAGATGGTGACAGGAGGGTGGGGCACCCATCAAGGGGCAGGGCTACCCTTGTGGCCCTCAACAACTCACCAAAACGCGTTAAGTGGCCCTCCAATCGAAATAATTTCCCACCCTTGATGTGGATAAGGGAACAGATGTGAAAACAAGTCTTTCTACACCCCTGATCAACCTGCTGTTAAGACGCATTCTTCTGCAAAGCATATTCTTTAACTCTGAGTATGTGTCGTGATTCACCAGTTAATGTTGATAAGATACCAACACTCCTTATTCAGTGTTTTCAGTCCAATTTGTGAGGCTTTTTTATTAATAGAGAGTAGCAGAAAAGAAGCTAGTGTCAGAAAGTTATGTGCATATTCCTGCTCATGTTCAAGTGCAAGAGTTGGTACTGTAGATAATACCATTTCAGCAGGGCTCCTGGTTCTGTTTCTCTTGCATATCTACAGAAGTTCAGGCTGAGAGACAGGAAATAAAGAGCAACAGACCAGAGTCCATTGTAGCAAAAAGGTAAGAGCCTCCAGGTTCTGATTAGGTGTGATGTTTTATGTCCCTTTTTTTTTTTTTTTTTTTAACCCAAGAAGATGGTCAGTTTTTGGTTTTGTCCATTGATTTGGTTATGGGGAGAAATGGATTATATAGCCATTCATTTCCTTTATGTAAAACTGTTTATAAAGATTTGCAAAAACTTGTTTCCATGAACATGTAGGAATTCAGCAAGAGGGGATGGTTTTTGCTCATAGTTTTGTGTGTCCATCAGCCTTTTGCTAATCTTTCTTCTCAGGGCCTTGTTCCCAGTCTATGTTCTTTTCTTTTTTTCTCCTTCTCTGTGCCTGTCCTGGTGGCATTTTTTTCCTCTTTTGTTACACACACAGGCATGCTTCTCCAAGCCAATCAATCCTCTGCCTTCAGTTTGTTATCAGTTCATACTAGGCTACATGGATCCGTTCCTCTTCCAGTCTTAACCTATCATTTTGCTTTGGAACAAGGTCCAGTTGCTTAAGCTATGTATTCAGTAAAGGAGCTGAATTTCTCATTTATATTTATCCTGAAGAAAAGGCAGGTCTTATCCCCAAGCTTCAACAAGGGTTTTTTGCAACCCATAACAACATGTATTAATTCTGTGGATAAGGATTAGGACTTGTATTGTTTTTTTTTCCTATCATCTATCTGTTATCTAGCTACCAGAGGGTACTAGCTCCCTCAGGGCTGAAGACTACTTGTATATTTTTGGCACTTAAGTACCACTAGCAGGACAGATCATTGAATTTATTATATAACTCCATGCCATCCTTTTTGGATTTGGCATGACCTCTGATGCTCAGTGATGGAGAGCAGTGTGACCGTGTTTCATTGAGAACTCTTGTGGCACCTTGCACTCAAGTAATGCTTTTCATTAGTTTCCTGCAAGTGGAAGTGCATCAAGGCTCTCAAAATAGAAAGTGAACTTTACCACTGTTGTTGTTCAAGAGTTGTTTTTGTGCACTTTCTGCTTCCTTGCTCTGCCTCAGAAATTCTGTATATTCAGGACTGATGTTCAGGGAAAGGAAGTGTCGGGATTGTGAGGATTCCCTCCTTTATGTAACTTCAGTTACTGAATATTCAAAGCTTCACCCTCGTCCCTCAAATGGGTCCAGCTCTGGGGAGGGTTCTTTAGACTGATTGCCAGAGGTGCCCATTCTGTTCCACAAAAGTGAATGCACAGAGGCAGCTCTCAAAGAACAGTATTTTATGCATGGCTAGCCTTTCATTTCTGCCTCTTCCA